AAACCTGAACACCTCAGGCCCCTGCTACACGGATCCTTATGACAAGGATCCCGTGTAGAGTACCCCCAACACCAAGAAACCACTAAACTTCCCGAAAAAAACCTACCCCACAGAGCATCCAGCAAGGTTACAAAAAGAACCAACCCTAAACCCTAAACCCCTAAACCCCCAAACCCCAAACCCTAAATCCAAACCTTCTAACTTACTCTGGGGCTCATCCGAAGACCTGGGCCATAGCACCTTGAAGCCCTCGGCCCTAAAGCCGAGGATATCTGTTGTTTAACGTAGGGGCCTAAATAAATTAGAATAGGGTTTGGGGCATTTTATGCTAGCATTTTAATAAGGATCCCCCAAAACCCTATTCTAATTATTGAAGCCCCTACATTACTCCTGGCCCGGGCAGGTAAACCGTCAACCTAAAACCCGAAGCCCGAAAGCTTGTGTTGTTGTATCCTTTATTTTTACACCTGGTCTAGTCTTTTTGCATACCGAACCCTTCTTTTAGCACGGACTGAGGTGCCGGCCAGCGCCCATGCAACCCTTACCCCGTCTTAAGGCAAGATCCCGAACCCTGAACCCTAAACCCTTTTCTATACTGAACTTAGACTCCTGGCAAAATTATAATTTTAGCTGCTTCTTAGGGTTTATAGTAGCCAACGATTAAATATTATTTCTAAGTACCCCGAAGTTTTTGCAGCCAGGCCCAAGCCCGAAACAAAAAACCCACACGCCCAAGCACAAGAAGGCCGAGGAACCGATCAGCAATCCTCTGAGAAGCCTCAGAAGCGCGAGAGCCGTAAAGCAATGTGGCTCAGGGAGTACTGTGAAGACGAATCCAAGTTAGTTAAGGATTTAGGGTTTTAGGGTTTAGGCTCACGGACTTTGAATACCGGGAATCCAAGTCATGACTATAATAGTTGGAATTTGGTCTGGGGGGGATAATAATACGTTCATAGTACTGCGACTACAAGGGGAACCTCTACACCCTAAACCCTAAAACCCTATACCCCAAAACCCTAAAGCCTAAAACCCTAAACCCCTACATTATGGTTCGAGCTTAAACCAGAAACTCGAAACGCAACTGGCCTGAAAGCTTTGGGTTGTACGAAACACGCGGAGAAAAAACCGTATCCGTAGTCCTCCTAGTTGTTTGGGTTTAGGGTTTAGGGTTTAGGGTTTAGGGTTTAGGGTTTAGGGTTTAGGGTTTAGGGGTAGTCCTCCTAGTTGTTTGTCAGACCAGTAAAGCAATGGGCATCATGTTCTAGTGTGCCTGAATGCACCGTCGGAATTACGAGAGGCACAATCGTCAAAAAAAGCAGCAGCAATGCAAGATGCCTAAAACCCTACACCAGAAACCCAAAACAATAAACCCCAAACCCTAAACCCTAAACCAAAGCCTACGGTTACCAAGGAGCCGTTGGCGCCACACCCCGGGCCGCACGTTCCGAAGCGACCTGGCATGGCGAAATATAAAAATGCCCCCCGACCTTTTGGCTGTTTCGCTTCGCCGAATCCGGGCACGTTCTGGTACTATGCGCTGGTTTGGGATCCGGGCCGGGGTCTGGAATGGCACCGGTAGGAACCGGTAGGAATCACAAAGATGTTTCTCGGGACCGATGTGGAAGCCGCGATCACGCGGCCGACTGCTGGAACTGAACACCAACCGGAACTCTGCACCGCAGCTCAAGACTCGGACTCTGCTGCAGCTTGGACAGAAACCTCTTTGACTGCACCTGCAGCTCCTGTGACACACGCAGCCAAAAAGCAAAACAACCCACCCGCATCTTGCGAATCCATCCAGAAAGACGGTGCCCGGGCCCTTGCCTGCAGTCCACCTGAGCCCTCAGCCGGGCCGTCAGCCCCAATCCTATACTGCATCTGACTCAGGCGAACTCAAACTGCCCAAACTTTAAGGAAGGCCTGAACTCCCAATCGGATCTTCCCCAGCCTCCAGCTGCGCCCAGGCGTCCACGTCCTTTCCACAGCTGTCTATCCCGGAGATTCCCAGTGGGCTTAGAAGGGCCTGGCGCGGAGGGTTTGGCACTTGTAAGGCTCGTTTGATACTTCAAGCCTTCGTAGGTCTGTCTATGTGGCACTTTCTGTGGCTTGACGAAACATGCATACCTTCTGGAACACTCCCATTTTCCAGCGCACGGGAACAGTAAGAACAGATAGTCATGAAAGGAATTGTAATAATGAGGCAAATCGCCATAGTACTGTCATAATAGTTGTGATAGTAGCAGTTGTCGTCGTGGTCATAGTCGTAGTTCTTCGTCATCATCGTAGTAGTAGCAGTCGTCGTCGTCGTCGTCGTAGTAGTAGCAGCAGCAGCAGTAGTAGCAGTAGTAGCAGTAGCAGCAGTAGCAGTAGCAGTAGCAGAAACAGTAGCAGTAGCAGTAGCAGTAGGAGTAGGAGTAGTAGTAGCAGTAGGAGTAGCAGTAGGTGGTGGTGGTGGTGGTGGTGGCGGCGGCGGTGGTGGTGGTGTGGTGGATTTGCTGTTAACGGCAGTGGCAGCAGTCCGTCACGTTCGCAGCATTAGTAGGAGGAGCAGTAGTCTTAGTAGAAAGATTAGGAATAGCACAAGCGACTCGGCAGCAGTTGTAGCTGCAGCGTAGTCACGGCGTAGTCGCCATCGCAGAAGCAGACGCAGTAGCGGCGTTGTTATTACGTCTTTTTGCTGAGCTCCTTCTGTGCCAGAACTGACATTAAAAGCCCACCTGCGCATAGCTGTCCAGGATCTCCCGGGCAAACTCCCAGAGCTTCGTCTTGGTCAAGCTATCAACTCAATATGAGGGCCGAAACAATCAAATTAGGGTTCTGGGGTATATTCAAGCACTACTTTTTCACGCATGCATGCACGAGTCGATGCCGCTCCAGCGACTCGCACGCACCTATGGCGCGTCCTAGCCAACTCAGCGTTGGAACCTAGCTACCTCGTAGCCAATACTCGAGCTCGAACCTAGGACACTTGGGTGTGCGAATCCAGCTGCGAAACCATGACCCCCAGTCCTTGCCCAAACACGACCGCACTCTTGCGGCCAAGGCCTCGTCCAGGTCACATTGGCCTTTGGCGCAATCGAAGCACATGATCGGCTTGGCTTTTAGCAAGGTGTCGGTAGGTCTCC